GTGGTAGAGTGAACTGGGGTGGTAATACACATAAGAAGTCAAACAACTTCTCAAAAATCATCTTGTCTAAACTTTAAAACCCGACATGAACCTGTTCAATAAAGCCTACAAATGAACAGTACCGAATGTGAATATCCCATTGTCTATATGAGGAAATGAAGTGGTAACATGGTATGAAATCACTGACATTATGATCTGGACGACGCTATACATAGTCTTTGAAAGGTTAAAGAATTTTCAGAGACTCGCAATATGGTTAAAGTAGCCCAATAGTCATTCTACCAATAATCTTAAATGCAAGTATATCACTCAATAGATAATCGCTTCTGTTGACCGAAGTAAATAGTGCCATTTTTTTGAAGACAAGAATACCTCCAAATGCATTTAAAACACTAAGAAAACCTACTCACAGAAACCTGATTCATACATTTGCAATTGAAATGAGTAAGCGACCGAGAAAGCAATCTCAGTTATACAGAATGTATAGAAAGGTTAAATATATACTACAGCCTTTCAAACAGAGAAATCTAACTAATCGAATCCATTTAGTCTTTGGCTCGTCCACTTAGAAAAATGAGATGATGTTAAGATTCACCCTAGTAACTGTTGAAACACCCAATCAGGTTTTACTGTTTTGGTTCAAGAAGTCTAATTGGTTATTTCAGTTGTTGGCTAGGCTGGCCTTTAAAGTAGCCCTGAGAAATCCCAATGACTCATGGCCTGAGATAAAGTTTTCTGAGTTATAATAATCTTGGTTTAATATGCCTGCTAGAATTGTTCAAGTGACTTTCAAGGCCACCGTAGCAACTGTTAAGACAACCAATTATGGCTCTGTCTTTTTAGCAGAAAAAAGCAAACTAATTGGTCATTTTCATCAGTGTTAGGGTGGCCATTAAAGTCACTCGATTTCGTGTTCACTACATAGAACTTGACAGATCAGGAACAAGATAGGTATGGTTGTCATTTATGAATAGGAATAGCTTATCTTTATACACATAACAAAGAATGTGTAGAAAGGTCACAAAAAGTGGATAATTCATTCATTTTCAGTTCCTCAAAAAATCAATCGAGTAAAATTAAATGTCAAAATTAATGACTTTCAGATTGGGATGATTTCAAACACCTAAAAATGCCTATCACATTATTAGGCAGCAACAATCTGAACAAAGAATATTCTTTCAATCGATTCCTAGCACGTTCTACAGAGTGATAAAATGAAACTGTACAGCGTGAAACCGGTCAAGTTTCAAGTAACAACATTTTAAGAATGGCATGTAGGTTAAGGACTGCAAGAAAATTAATTTTTACTATTTTTATTGACAAAAATGTTATTCTCCGTTGTTTTGTTTGATCGAATTGTTCGACCTCTATTGGCAAATGGGCTTCTATGCGGATGCCCCGATATTGCCTGAATGTTAACTATGATAACTTGGTTGATTGTGGTTAGCAGAATAAACCAGGACGCACGTTTATATCGTTCCTCTGTAGCATAAGGAATAGCACCTTGGGGTTCGAAGCGATGGGTACGAGGTCTGAGTCTTAGTGAGAACAACATCGCTGGGAGAAGTAAAGCCTGGACATGTTCTTCCTGAATACAAAGTTCAAGTTTGAACAACCTTATGGCGATACCCTCCGATATGTTGAGAAGGAGCTGGGGAGCTAGCTATACGTGGTATCATTTTCGGAACACGATGAATGACATTGAGAGCTTTATTAGCATCTATGTGATACCCTGTGGCAACTAGAGGTGCTAGAACTGAACTCTTCACTACTTTCACTTCTTCCTTTCCAAACCAAGCTGGTAAATGGTCTCGTATACGAAGACGCACCTGCCCAATCGTACACCCTATGTAACTAGCTACAGAGGAACACTTAAACTGATATATGTAAGATGTAGAGCTAAGATTGGGTAGGCTATCCTTTAGTCTCGGATTGAGCATTGGCCAACTACTGAATGATATACTGAGCCGACCTGCATGAAACTTCCTATTCACTGCTCTAGCTAGGCGTTGTAGTAGAATGTCAGCTAAAGCATCTCCCTTGATTTTTAAGCGTAGATAAAACAGTTTTTTTTCTACTGTTATCAATTCTCGTGTAAGACCAATGTAGTTGTTGGTGAACTTATCCGGATATTCGTTTTCACTTAGAATATCACGTATACATACAGTAGTTATTTTTCTACACACCTCTTGGAGCAAATCAATCTTATTCTAAATGCCAGACACCTGATTATATAACATCTGTACTTCATCGGCATGAAGTTGAGAATATGTGTATACTGTGGCTTAGACATAGGTTTTCTATACATACTTTTTAGTATAAAGCCATCTTTTCTTGTCATTAGCACGTAAAGAAAGTGTATCGAATCATTGATTTTATTTTCATAAGGAAAATGAACTGATGGCCTTCGTCAAACTTAAGACCACTCCTATTTTCTTTATTTGTTGTCTTTTCGTTTACTATCACATTCTTCGTCTTCATTCTAATGTTGGCAAATTAACAAAGAAACATTGATTTCTTTATAGTCCCTAACCCACGTGCTGTGTCAAGAAAAGCATTTCCAACAAACTACAGACATTCATCAACAGCTGCCACCTACACTCACTCGATACTGAAGATCAGATGGCCAGAAAGAATAAGCAACAAGGAACTCTTAGAACGAGCCAACCAAGAATCTATCACCCAACAAATATGCGGAAGAAAGTAGATATGGATTGGGTTTGGCATACACTGAGAAGACTGATTGGGGATATCACGAGCCAGGCCCTGGAGTGTAATCCAAAGGGGAAACGATAAGTTGGGCGTCGTAGCTGAGGGTGACATGGTGGAGATCATGTGAGGAAGAAATGAAAGCTTGTGGGCAGTCGTGGTGTCAGGTTGAAAAGACTGCAGAGAAGAGAGTGGAATGGAGTCATGCTACTGAAGCCCTATTTTCCACTAGGAACCTAAGGGAAAAAAATAATAATGACCGACATGCTATTTTGAAAATGTTGTTGCTTGAAACTTGATCGGCTTCATACTGTACAGTTCCATTTTATAACTGTAGAACCTGCAAGAAATCTGCTGAAAAGAATACTATTGGTTCAGACTGTTGGCTTTTATTAACTAATGTTATGGGAATCTTCAAGTGCGTATAATTATTCAATTCTCCTATGGATTTTATTGAATTCAAAAAGATTATACCAAAATTATTTCAAAAAACATTCAATATGCTTATTTGAGGATCGCAAGCTGATGAGAGTGTACTTTATCTGATTACATCTAAACATTTTGGGCTCTGCTACGGTATGAATGTATGACAAGATTAAAAATAGATAGCAGAGATGCAACGTGTATGTTAGACAGCAATCAGTGATTGAAAATCATTGATGCTATAACTCAAAATCATTTACAGTACTGGCGACCCAATCATGTTGTGTACATCCTCAAAGTTTCAATAATTTTAGTAGGCACCATTAGTTTATTCTCACGCCTGTTGTATCAGAGTTGTCTATCCAATTATTCTTCTCGCTCTGTTAATTTTTATACTGCTGTAAATCATGACAACTTGTAAGAATTTGTGTGTGGTGGGTTCTTCAAGAATCTGCCTATCTACCGATCTATCATAATCAGGCTGAAATTTTGTTGAAGATACTAATTTAGTTCAGTAAAAAACTCTTCAGTTGTTCAAACGTTTATCGTTCTATGGCTCATTAAACAATACCATTACCGAAATGCTCTAGATGACGACAATAAGCTTGATGTAACTGAGAAAGACTGCTCTAAATATGAAAAAAAATGCCACAGTGACGAACGTCTATAAAAAACCCTGTTTTAGAACAGTTGTAGATATTCACTAAAAGATTAAAGTCTTGTAGACTATGAAACACGTTGTCGATTTTATTAATTTGCATAATATAGTCAGAAGACGAAGGTTATCTGAGAAGTTTGATGTATTTGCGCAATAGGTTTTGGACAATCTGGTCATAAACCTACTTGTCGAGGCATTTTATATGAAGATTAGTCAGAAGAGTAGTATTATCTATATTGTTGACTTGGCCGAATAACTAAAGATTGCGGGGAGACGGGAAAGTCACCTCTCAGTTAAATAAAGAATGAAACATTCTATTTGTGAAGAATAAGACCCGGCTAAATAATGAGTCCTAGATGATTATAAAGCAACCTTTTCACGAAGTTATCGAAACAAAAGAGTACAGAGCATTTAATTTCCTACCCAAACAAATGAAAGTTTGACTAGCTCAATGGTAACATTCTTGAATGCACCATTGGTAATGTGGGTTCGGATTTTTGAGAGAGTAACAGTCCTTTCCTGAAACTTCATAACAGTTATAAAATTTCTGTCAAATAAGGCTTCTTCTCAATGGCCTATAACCAGTCAAAGTGAGTAACACCTAACTGATTCATCTTTTGCTTTACTAATGATACATAGGCCTTATATTTGATTGATATCGGTGGGGAAACCAATAATTACTGACAGGCACTGGAAAAACTTTATGGAGGATAGTGGAAAACTAAGTACCTATCATTATTATTTGTCCCTTGGGTTCCTAGTGGAACATAGGGATTCATTAACACATCACCATTTCACTCTCCTGGCTCCACCATTGTCCATAAGCTTTCATTTCTTCCTCTCATGATCTCCTGCATTTCACCCTTGGAGCCCCAACTCGTCATTTCCCCTTTGGATACCACTCGAGGGCCTGACGCGTGATATCCCCAACCGGTCTTCTCAGTGTATGCTCCATCCATCTCCATTTTCTTCTGAGTATTTGTTGGCCGATGGTGGATACTTATAGCAAAAACCAAATGTTAAAGCCTTGGTTGAGTTTTCAGTTACCAATTTTTTTTCTTGGTTTCGAATAATTTTTTTATAGCATTGATGGCAGTCACTGTTTGAACTTAATATTAGAATTAGAGTTATAAAGATGATAACAACTGAAAACTGACTAAATACTTCCAACCGGTTAAAATATAACCATCATTATATATTTTATACTTACAAGTGGAGGAGCTGACCGCCTTTCTAATTTTTTCGGATTTCCAGGATACTGAAGCGTGAAGCTACTTCTGTTTCGATGAATTTCTATGGAGGTAGAAGAAAAGATTAAAATGTATATAGCAAATTTTATTCGAGATATTATTATAAAGATGTGATTACAAGTTGTCACAGTTCAACTATAGAATATAATTATATCTCTAGCAATAAATGTTTAAACAAATATTCCTCAAAGGATGATAAGCAACTTCGATTTAAAATATAAAAACACTGAATCATCAGTGTTTGTCACCAGATTTATAGGAGAATAGATAACATTTCCAATCTGTAGCAAATTTATGACTTTCACTCTGTTTTGAAAGACGAGTAACAAATCTCAGCTTAATATAAAAATTATTGTGTCATTAGTAGTATTATTGTTACTTGTTGAAGTTAATTCAGCCTTGAAGGTCCTCTGTGCAGTATAGTCATAACGTCTAAAATGGTGGATGGTCTTTGTTGTACTGTGTTCTCTCAGCTGGGTTGTTTAATCGTGAAACTTTTATCATCTTGCTAGACACCATCATCATCATCACCAATAACCTCAATATGAAGTGACCTGTCAATGTCTCACCGTCAGTGGTTTAGTAGCTCACCCTGACCAACCGGTTTTTTACTGGTTGTTTCCTTTGACCGTATACGTTGTTGTATATCTTGTTGTGGTTTCTGATAAATTCATTATGTTTGGTAGGATGATGTGTTTATTGATTTCTGTCGACGACTTTGTAGTTGATGATGTACGGGATAGGCATCTTGTGAAATGTTTCCTGGGTAGCCATTCTTCTTTAGGATGGGCATCAAGTAATTTTCTTCGTTTCTCCGTAAAGTTGTTGTACTGCAGTGTGTTTTCATTATTTTGAATAGAGTCTGCTAACAAATGATTTTGTGCCTTGTTAGGTTGTTGCTACTTGATGTCTATTCTTAAACAGAACGGCTACCAAAGAAACTCTATCAGAAAATGAATATCCCCTACATCATCAACTACAAAGTCATCAACAGAAATCAATAAACACATCACCCCACCATACATAATGAATTTATCAGAAATCACAACAAAATCACTGACACCACTTGCAATTGGTGTGCATCATAAACCAACAAATTACATACAAACACTATTATCCAAACCAAAGTAACCAACAACCAAGCAACACAAACAAAACATCTTTTACAACATCAACACAAACAACTCTGGTCAATACTACATTAGACGACAAAGTGATCACCCTCTTCACCTTCGTCACTTACATGAACACCAATCGACTATTAAACATCACAACATTTCATCAATCATCTCAATCCACATAACACATAACACAAGTATGTATGGAGATGAATTGAATTTGGAGAATGTAGAAATTTTGGATGGAGTGAGGAGAAGTGAGGAATATGAGAGAATTGTTGGAAGCTTGATATTCAGGTGAGTCAGCCAGCCTGCCTGCCAGCCAGCCGTTGAGGCAGTCAGCAATCAAGAGATGTATGGACATAGACCGAGTGTATCAACCAATGAGGAGAATGATAAATGACTGAGAGGTTGAAGGTGAAGCAGAGGAACAGTCAACAGGAAAATGTATACAATGAATGAGATAGTGATCTAGGGGGAAACAACCAATTAGAAATGAGTTGGTCAGAGGAAGCTATTAAACCAGTGATGGAGAGATATAGACAGGTCACATCATAATGAGGAGGTTATTGGTTATGATGTTGTGTAGGAAGACGATGGGATCTTCACGACTAAACAACCCAGTTCAGAGAACGCAATACAACCAAGATAGTCTTAATATCCAGATTGTGTATTGAGTGACTGAGGATTACATTTTCTTCGCGAAATAAACCTTTCCAAGTATACACACACGTCATATCAATCATTTTATGAATGTCATACATCACTTTGAGATCATCCTGTTTCAAATCATTTGTCAGTTTTTAAATTTAAGTTGTCTTAGGAGTAGCAGACAATGTATTAGTGAATTGACTTACAGGTGATGATTATCTAGGGAAATGCTTGACTGTGAACAAGCTCAGAACATGAATCTAATATTCATTACAGAGGCGGAAAAGGAATTGATTCATTTGAAGATAATTAATATTATAATTTAATGAACTACTGCTAAAACATGGTGGACCCAGACAACTGTTTTGTTGTCATCAGCGGTGGAATAATGATGAAGATAGAAGTGAGCACAAGAGCTCTAAGTATCGCATTGAGCATGTGTTTGATTCAAATTTAACATTGTGAGTGTACTTTGCTGAGGAGTTTAGGAAGAATGAATTTTGAGTATCCACCATTTTACACTGGACCTCAAAAATTTGTTTATCTGTAACTGAAACTTTCTCAGTTATAAGCGTTCTAGCAGATTTATGTAACTAGCCCCTCTTTACAATATCCTTCATAAAATCGTTGTACTAACTCGAAATTTGTCATCTTTCTATTGGGAAAGTGAAAATTCATATGGTAAGCTCTGATATTTATATGAAGAATAAAGGGACTTAATCGACAGTACAAAATTTTAGATATTATTAAAAAAGTATTACAAAGCCTTCATAGTTAACATTACCATGCATTTTTATCAGTTGGTTGATGACTTAAGTTAAAATACAACCTGAATCGTGATAGAATTTGAATAACTGATATCTTGGTAGCTGGTTGAACGGCGAACTATCGATGACAAAATATTAGTCTTGTGTTGGCTGGTGAAAATTTCACAAATTAAATGTCATATAAACTGTAGATAACCACTTGTCCGTTCTCTTCATCATACTGAATGTTTACGCTGTTCTTCAAATCTCATTTCAGTTGCAGAAAGTTTGAAGGTGATGACCGATCTACTGGATTGTTAATATAGTAAACGGAAATCGATTCAGTCAGACACGATGACAGTATTTTTTTTTTACATATCAGCCTTGTTTACCTAACAGTCACCGATAATACCATTATAAGTGTACTGGATGAGACGTTGATAGAAAATTGTAGAAAATGAAAGATAAACATGAATAGGTATCAACAGAAATGTGTGTGTGTGTGTGTGTGCGTGTATACTAGAGCTCAGGAACATTTTCAATAACCGAGAGTACTCATGAATCGTGAACAAGCGAAAATGAATCAAATACAATCTATCATCGTCGGTGAATATTGCTTTAAGTGAATGTTTTACACACACAATGATAAATGTTATACCTTAGAAAAAATATGCAATGAAATCCTTCTCTATTTACACTGATTCAATTCACAATTTGAAAATTCTTCATCAATTTAAACATCATGCATTTTAGAATCAAATATCATCCTGAAATCGAATATTATATCTTACCTAGAGACTAAAAAAATTTTCATATATAGATAATGAACTCAGAGTGTACAAGCATAAATGCTACGTATTGAATGTATGAAGTTAGGTAGGTGAATTAAAACAGAACGGAAGTATAACAAATATGCCATACGAAGAAGTTAAAAATAACTCAGAATTGTTAACTAAACTATTCAAAGTACAAAGTGACTATGAATGAAAATAGTCACCTAATCTCTATTTCTAAACAATTACTCGTACAGTCTTTTAATCAAGATTCAGTAATTCTATCCTGTTGTGTATCATCCATTCTTTTATAACTCAGTCATCTGTCGTTTTTCTGCAATTATATCTGTCAGTAAGACTTTCAATTGTTATCCTTAAAAGAGTGACTCTAAAAGTAACAGCTAAAATAAGCAACTAGATTTCTCTATTTTATGAAAGTCTGTTTTTCTAGGAAAAAATATACAGGCACTTTGCTGGTTATTTCATTTGTCGTGAGGATCGTCTTAACAGTCAATCAAACTCCAAAGCGCTATCCACTAGGCTACCGAGACAAGATAGCCACTTCTTGTGCAAGCGGTATAACATATGTGATGTTGTTTGCATTGTTCCATAGTTGATTGCATAGGTCTTTGATAAAACGCGCATCCTGGATCCTACGGCTAGCCACCATTCATGATTGGTATCAATCTGAAATTACAGACAATATCGAGACATCTGCACAGACGCCCATATGCCAACAGGGGCCAATCAATTCAGTCCAACCAACGACGGGGTAATACAAGCGACATCATATACTTTGGAGTGTTGAAAACGGTCACCCTGAATATATAAAGTGTTTCCTGTTTACTGACGTACAACGGAGAAACAACCAATCATTGCCCATAAAATTTATCTGTAACATCACTAACTTCAGACACAGGTTGCGTGGATAGACGTTCCAAAACATTAGCGATACCTTGTTGACGAATGCCAAATTATATGAAACTCTACTTCAAGGCTTCTGATCAACTGTCTAGATTCATTTAACATTATATTCGGTTGATTACTATGTCTCAATCATTCATCTTAATGCATATACTGAAAAAAGCTTTCAATAAAACCCTCCCACAGCTAAAACATAGAAATTTACACATTGATTACTACCTAGTAGCCAAATGTGATGCAGACATGACAAATACTTTTGATTCAACAGCCAACCGAGACTAATTAGTCGCGCATCAGGTTTATTCAGCTTATTTTGGAAGATTTACTTCTCCTACTGTTCAAGCCTTTCCACGTTTTTGCTTATACAGACATTTTCTTCTTTCATTTTAGTGATATATCCCAACCAGTCTGTTGGAAAATTTAAATATTTCAATGCATCCTCATTATTTTATTTATTTCTGATGACTATTAAAATGTTTTCAAAATGTCACCAGTCAATGGGGTCTGTAAGACCCTAATAAGATCAATAATCTAGAAAAACACTTGGCTATTCCAATGCATGCATTAACACTCAACCACATAGTAAAGTGGGAAGTCTAATATAATTACGTTGAAAGAGAGATTGATTACTTAGCCTTTGTTCATCACATCAACAACCAATACATGTAATAGAAATGATGCGACATCTATACCAGAGATATGGAAAATTTTACTACCAATAAGAGGTGACAGGACTATGAAAAGCAGATGTCGAAAGTAGTGTGATCATATTGATATGATTATGAGCAATGGTAATTTATGCTCAGGATATCATCAAGTGAATAATACTAT